CATGAAGTTCCAGCCTGAGGAGATGTGAAAAATGATTACCTCCATTAAAAAGGTAGTGAATGTTGGAATATAGTATGTTCACTATTCAGTAGCATTGATTTTAATTTCAGGGTGGTAGATGTCAATATAGTTAGAGGATGCCATGATGAGCTGGCAGCATTCATACTAGACAGTCATAGAGCGGGAAAATCTGGTACTCCAAATATTATTCTGCTTCCCTGCTAGAAACAAAATTTTATCTTTGTATACCTGAATAGAGAGTGTGCAAATCTGTTATCATCATTCATTACAGTATATTAGATCTATTATAGTGAATATAGTATAATGATAAACCGAAGGTTCCATGTTGGTTTCTGACTAAATATGTTATACCATTTCCCTAATACCTTCCTTTTGAAAGGAAGAAAATAATAAATTGTATCTGTTTCACTAAAACTACATTTATAGCATTTTGCTTTGCTTTCTATATGTCTTGCACATAGTAAGTGCTCAGTGAATATTTAAGTGAACATTTAAAATTACAGTGAAATTTTTATTATAAGTTCAAGAGTTCTTTTTTTTACTGTAGAATACTTTAGGAACAGTTTAATATGAACAGTGTATTTCAGTTCTTTTTAAAACCAATATTCCTAGAAATTTTATTATTTAATAAGCTTGAGAATATCAAAACTAAGATTATATTACAGTGATTTTCCTAAGATATTTAAATGCATTGTTTTATGAGATATAAAATATTTTGTGTAATCTGAAATTTATTTTTGTTTAGTTTTACCATTGTGATTTATACTGACAAGAAGCATGATTTTAGTCTATAAATTGATTTAAGAACAATCTTCAGTAAAGCTGTTTGCTTTCAGAGTGAGTAGTTACCGTCAGCAACTCCTAAGTCAAATTTGTAGATAATAATCAGCCTTGTTCTGCATATCAAGATTATGTTGTGGAAGAAACTTTGTACTTACATACTGAGTACACAAAAACAAAGGAACAACTATAATTTGTTTAATTCGTAAAGTGATATCAATTCACTTAATATTTACAGAGTAATAAATGACTAAAATATAAAATAAAACATTTCCTACATGTAGCAAGTGGGTCTGACGTTTTGAATTTAAGTTGAGTCCCAGTTATTCAAGAATCAATCTGATTTGGAGTGAAGTTCAAAAATATACATGGTAAAAGGTTATAATGTCATTTTTTCCCTTACCCTTTGTTGAATGCCGATCTAAAAGAGATTTTACATGTAACTGATGTCTTGTTTTATTAAAATTCTATAGCATTCTTATAATGAGGTAACTTAAAAAATTTTGAGAAAACCTTGAGGCAATTTGTATAAAGCAAATGTTCTCCTTATTAACTTAAAAAATTTTGAGAAAACCTTGAGGCAATTTGTATAAAGCAAATATTCTCCTTACTTGTAAGTTCCCTGTTTGTTAGAATTAACTAAAAATGCAGGTCATTAAATACAGTTAGTAATGCTACCTAGTTCTTAAAGTTTATGGCCAAGAAATGCTATGAAGTAGTGTTTTTCCTGATTTTATTAGGCTATCAAATCACACTGTAATTGATAATTTCATTTCCTGAAGCAAGTAATTTTAAACTAGAGTGATAATTTTGGTTAGATCCCATTTAGTCAATCATATATCTAATCTGACTATCTTGGCTAAATTTTATGCTTTTATTATGATTTTAATTATGTCACTGAACACTATATTCCTTGTGAATATAATGGGAAGGATAAAATAAGAATTGCATTCTGTTAGTGCTATACATACTATAAAAATAACAATAGTCCTTCTGCATGCTTTAGGCATTAATTTTAATTTCAGGATAATAGATTTCTGTAAGTTAAAGGATGCCATGATGAACTGACAGCATTCGTAGTAGACAGTCACAAACCTGGAGAGTATGGTGATACTCCAAATATTATTCTGCTTCCCTGCTAGAAAAAAAAATTTATTTTTGTGTACCTAAATAGAATTGGATTATGCAAATCTATTAAAATGATACTTCCTTAACTCTCTTTTCCTAATAGAGACTGGAATAGGCACTTAATTTTTGAGTGGTTCACTGTTTTTCATTTGCAAATGAGAAATGTTGTGTTTCTTCTACTATTATAATAACATTGAGAGCTTACTGTATTTCAGGCACTATCCTAAACCTTTTATATTACATTTTTTCACAGCTATCATGTCAGTATTTACTTCCATTTTATAGGTCAGAAAGCAGCGGGATCATATTTACCATAGGTCATAAAGGTAGGCCTAGGTAGAAGTCAGGTAGCCTGCATCTAAACTGATATTTTTAACTTGTTCCCAATTTGGTCTCAAATTGGGTTGTACTTCAGTTGCACTTGGGAGCTCTACTGTAAAATAAAATTTAACAAAAAAAGCAATGCTCAGCTTCTCCCCAGACTAATTAAATCAGAATCTTTTATGGATCTTTACATATATTATTGTTTTTAAATACTGGAATTATGTCACAGAGCTTAATACGCAAAAAATAATGAAGATTGTTTATTGAGAGATATGTTTCTATATGAAATTCTAAACTTAATAACTTCTCTGATTTTTTTCAAGCTTTAATTCATTATCATATGTTTAAAAATAATTTGGCAAGCTACTTTATTTTAATGGTAAATGTAACATACACATGTAAGTATAATCGTTTATAATAAAGTCACATTTTTCTGTACTCTTTATTTTTAGAGTTGGGTGATTCTGTTATAAATAAGAGACTATTGTAAATATAGAAAGATAAATAATCATATTCATTACATTTAATTTTATTAATTGACATTGGCTATGATGTTATAAGACCATAGAGTAACATTTAACTTAATCTCAGCAGTATTTCTAGTTAGGAGTTTAGATTACCATGAGGCTTTTCATCTTGTATCTCTTGAGTAGCCTTACCTCATATTTATAATGTTCTATTGAAATGTGGTTATTCAACACAGAGTTTTGAATGAATAAGTGATTTATTATATATTCAAGTCTGAAATGAATAGAATAGGTTGGTCATGTTGGTTGTTTCTAAATTATGCCACTTTGTAAAGCAAAAAGTATTGTCTGTTCAAACTATTAATAAAATTGTGAGAAAAATACTATGGTAAAGCTGATGATATAGTAAGAAATAGAACACAGAAGACTGTAACTGTCAAAGATGGCTTTTCTTACATGATTATGGCATGTATTCTTAACTACTAACATGGTTACATCCATGCTGATGGCACAAAAGACTTGTCAGGAGCATTGAGCGGGTGGTTTTAGACCGATAATGCACATTCTGTGTGGGCTGTGTGGTGCCTAGCAGTAAGCCATGAAGGTATCTCATGCCTTATCTACTTACTCATATTCTTGATCTCATGTCTTTACTCTGCATAGCTTATTGCTGTTTGGATAGTCAGTCTATTTTTGTTATTACACCAAATTCAAGGCCTCATTCTCACCAGGTTTTAATCATGGATCAGTCTTGTCTAGCCTAGCTCAAATAGAGGTAAATTCAGACCTTTACTCAGGCTAACAATGCTTTGCTTCAGTCTAAGACAGAAAGTCATATTCCCTCTCCTCCCATTTGTTTAAGAAAGATAAAGAATAAATGTTGAATTTAAGATAGTCCTCAAATCTGAATGGTATATGAAGAAACCTCATTCTAAGACTTAATTCTTTCTAAGAATATGGGGACATGCATAACAGTAATAGAGAAATTTTATGATTTTTCTAGTTTTCCTGATAGTTTGACCTTGTTATTTTGCAGACAATATTGTTCCAGCCAGAAATATAACCATATTTATATATAAACACAGATCTATATTCTCAAGACTAGTATGGATGCTCTTTGAATCATTTACAAAACAAAATATTAATGTGGATCCAGGGTCAACTTTCTAAGCGTGTATTACACTTCATTAATGATGATGAAAACATTCTTTTTTACTCAGTTTCTGAATGTTGGACTATATTCTGTATCCTAAACTAAAGCAACTTATCAAAAATGCAACAAACATAATTATGGTACTAGTGCTATCTTTCAAATAGATTAAAATGATGTATCTCAATAGATTATGTGCTTAGTATTTTAGCAGTGGGAATTGTATTTATACAAGTATGTTACTGACTTTACAACTGGCATCTTACAAAGATAACAACACATTTTGGTGGATTTGAATTTCCAAAATCCTTTGCCAGGAGGGTAAGGGAGAAACTATGTATAGGTTTTATGGCTTTTCATGAATAGAGCATTTTCTTTCTAGAGAAAAATATGAGGAAAACATGTTAAATAGAGATGTTTTGAGATTTCTCTGGTCTTTCAGTAGCAGAAATACACAGTGCTGAAAAAGCCCTTTTATAGAGGTATTTTAAAGGGAAAATTGTGAGCAAATTACGTTTTTTATGATAGGCAGGTGGAAAGAAGTGTGTTATAAACCTGTTTCTTCCCCTCCATGAAATCTTACAATAATCTTCTATAATTGCAGAAATCTTACTATAAACACATGTTATTCATGTGTTTATAGTAAGATTTATATAATCTTTATAAATCTTTATATAATCTGCAAAGAATTTTCGTAGTGAAAATAAAATTTTCAGTTAAATTGGACAGTGAGAATGCATGTGGAGAACTCTGTATCATTATAATCTGATGTAAATCTTTGGTAGAATTTAAGCATATTATTCTATTCTTTTGAAACTTGGAAATACATGATAAATAACATGTTTTTTTCAGGATTATGACTCTACTTAATATAAAATGCAGTTTTCTGAGCCAAAATTTCCTTCTTTTATGTTCTAGGGTATTTTAGATTACTGTTGCATTAAAGTTTTATTTAGAAGAAATGTACAACACAAAGGTGTTAGAAATAGCTTTGCAATAAAGGAGGCTCTCTGGTGGAAGCACTGGGGGCAGTAGTGGATACATTGTGCTAAAGGCTGTTTGTTTGGAAATCAAGTTTAATTTAAAAGAGCTTTCACTCACTAGTTAATATGACTGCTTTAAATTTACAGACAGTGGGAGTAGCTCACCGTTACCCAAGTATGCCTCATCTCCCAAACCAAACAACAGCTACATGTTCAAACGAGAGCCCCCAGAGGGATGTGAGCGAGTGAAGGTCTTTGAGGAAATGGCGTAAGTAATGTCTTTTCTATCAGCTGGGATCTGCAAAGCTGTAAAGCTTTTTTATTGAGACCAGTTGATTATAGATGAATCAACTACTCTATCCAGCTGATACTATGTTTCAAAAGCAAATTAATGTAAAGAGCATTGAATAGGCCAGGGGTTCTCAACCTGTGGATCACAACCCACAGGAACAGTATTATAGGGCTGCAGCATTAGGAAGGTTGAGACCCACTGGAATAGGCAAAAGAGATCTTTTTGAAAGAGAATTGGAGTTTATATGCCAGAAATGTATAAGCCCATACAAAGAAACTTGGAAATTTATCCTTACTATCTAAAAGGTCTGTTTTTAATAATTAAGAATTATCCCTTCAAGAACTCTGTTTAATTTAGATAGTTAACAAAAAGACCTTTGGAAGCAAAATTAACATCTGTGTGACTAACCTAAAGGCAGTCAGTATATTCCATAAGCCAGAGGGAAGTTAGTCTCTTTCCCTATAGACATATCTTACATGTTAACTCATTAAATTCTGACTTTGTATTCATAGGGGTTTTGTTTTTGTTTGTTTGTTTTTTTTTGATATTTCAGTGTGTATAAGTTAGAAATGAAATGAGAAAAAGATGTTCGTGCTATAAGCACTGGAAAGGGTAGCTTAGAAGAAAACTGTGTGGCTCTTGGAAGCACTTACTCTTTTGTCCCAGTGCAGGTGCCTAGTGGAGGCTGCTCTACTCTTGCAACCTAGAAAGGGATGGACATCAGACTTGCAAGAGTTGATGGCTTAGCTCCCAGGAGAGGGAGGAGAGGAAGGGATTATAGATCCTGCTCTGTTGGGCTGACTGGCTCTTTGAGAGACCACTGAAACCCTACTCCCTCCTTTATGCTAGTGATGGAAGTATCTCTGGAGATGCAGAGAAAAGGTAGAAATGCTCTAAACTGCCTACATAATGGGGTAACGATCCCACCCCAGTCAACTTTTTCTTAACAGAAAATATTATCCTAACCTTGTATAATCTCAGCTATAATGTAGGAGATTTTTCCACATTCCTAAGTGATTAAAAGAAAACTAAAGATCTCCATAAAAATGTATTGGCCAGTCCTCCTGAAAATCCTTTTGTCTCAGATATCACTTCAGTGCTGTGTACATGAATAGTCTGCCAGCTGACTTGTGCTATGGAAGATGTTTACCCCTCTGTGTACACTTAACCCATCGCCTGCCATTCACATTTTAGCTGTTTTAGATAACTCCAGTTGATTCAGAAAGTACTTTTTAGTTACTATAAACCTAATTTTGTTTTATGGTTTTAGGTCTCGTCCACCTGTCTCGGCCCCTCTCTTTTCATGTCCTGACAAAAACAAGGTTAATTTCATCCCAACCGGATCAGCTTTCTGTCCCGTAAAACTTCTAGGCCCTCTCTTACCTGCCTCTGATCTGATGCTCAAGAACTCTCCTAACTCTGGCCAGAGCTCAGCTCTGGCAGCTCTGACCGTTGAGCAGCTCTCATCCCGGGTTTCCTTTACATCTCTTTCTGATGACACCAGCGCAGCAGGCTCCACAGAGGCCTCTGTTCAACAGCCATCCCAGCAGCAGCAACAGCTCCTGCAGGAATTGCAGGGTGAAGAACACATCTCTGCTCAGAACTATGTGATCATCTAAAACGAAGGGGGAGCTGGTCTCCACCATATTATATGTTCCATGGATTAGGAACAAGATCTCAGACATCTGTCTGCATGGAGTGATAAACTTTCTGAACACCACCACCAACAACAAAATACTTATCAGCCTAATAAAGTATCTCTTTAACACTGATCTTGGCAGGGACGGAACTCCTATTCAGCAGTTTTGTGGAAAGCAGTAATGCTTGCAAAACATGTGTCATTTGGCATTTTAAGTGGAGACTATGCATTTCATAGTATGTTTGACAGATTAGTACTGTGTCCTGTATTTTGTTCCAAATTCTTCAGTATAAATAAGCTCTATATCAAAAAGTTGCCTGTCTAAATAGAAAATGTCTTGCTGTGTTTTGTCCTATGGAAAATACTGTACTTCAGGATTATGTTTACAATTGATCCAGGTGTTTGTTTCTAACTTCTTTAATACATACAATGCAAAAAAAAAAAAAAAAATGGCCACAACAGTTGCACAGTGCCCACCCTATGGCCTAGCTTCAGGTACTTCAGTTGAAGTCTAAACTCAGGTAACTTGGAATGTATAATCATATTGGGATATTAAATATTTCACAGCTACAAAGCTAAAGAGGGAACATCACTCTTTTGCCTTTTCTTATTTTATGCGTTTCCCTTTCCTCATTACATTCCACATTCTTATTAGAATAAAAAGTGCATTCAACCCTAGGAGAATGATAATCCTGGACATGGGTGAACATGAGGAGAACCAGCAATCTGTGGTGTTTGACATCACTTTCGTCATGTGGTTACAAGTAAAACAACTGTTGTATTCACTGTTTCAACGTGTGTAAAAGTGGCTTTTTTAAAAGTTCAGGTGTTGCTCAGTTAAGGACTCTTAACAATGTTGCAAATGAAGTATTCATTACTAGACTGTACATAAACATTCCACAGTGTGTGTGATGAACTTTAAAGACAAGAATGTCTCGATTTAATTTCAAACCAAGTGAAGTGTTTGACAGGGGATGGTTGAGATTTTTTGTTCTATGTTGGCCATCAGGGTCATAAATGTTGCCATTTTATCTAAAAATATATTTATGTTTAGTTTCTCTTTTAGAAATTCTTTAATGTACAGGTTAAAAAGTGATGTACTTTAGATTATTGTTTTCCTCAAGAAGTTTATATGAATTGCATTCACATAAAGAAAATACTTACACCTCTTGAATAGTTTTATTAAGATTTGGGATGTGTGAAGTAGAGAATAAATCCAAATAAATAATCTTGAACTTGCAGACTTGACATAGGTTCTTTACACAGTGTGGAGAGAGCCCTCAGTTCTGACTGCTCAGTGGGGGGCTTAACTCTCAGGCCTTGTTTTCTGCAGCACAAGGCCAGAATCCAAAAGTAAAGGGAAGCTTCTGTATTTTTATTCCATTCCTTTCAGTTCAGTAATACCTAGAGTTGTTTCATCTGCACCTAAAGTGTGTATGGCACAATTTTCTTAAGAATTAGGGGAACAAGGTGCCCACAGTTAAAGGAACGTTTCAGTTCCCTTCAGTCATTCCTGAGTTTTTATTTTCTGTGGAGATTGAAATGGACGAGGTGATGATAGAGAAGAGAGCAACACCATTGATTTTTTTTCAAAGAAATTATATATAAGTGTATATGTTTGTGTGTGTTTTCTGTGTGTATTATTTTGTCACGATCCCAATTCTCTTCTTTCCACCAAAGTTTGCAGTAATATTCTCTCCTGAAGGTGCATTCTGGCACCTTTGAATTAGTCAGTGTTATGTTATAGGAGACTGTCATGGAAAAAAGGACTCAGTTTACTTTTGCCATTTTCACAGGGGAACCTTTTAAAAAACAATCTTTTCAGCAGCAGATACCCTTCACCCTAATAATCTCAGGCCTTGATGAAAATACTATATTTTGTAGATTATGGGTAAAGGGAGAAAATTACTAGTTGCGTAAGATAAATATGAGCTCCATTTAACTTCTGATATCTGGTTTAGCATTACATAATACATTGATCTTATGCTCTGCTTTTGTCCAAATAAGATGCAATAGTATCAATTTCAGAAAGATGGACTCAATATGCTTTTCTGGTGATGAAATCTAATGTACGATATTTATAGTGACGTGCTTTTATTTTCTCATAAGAAACTAAATATTAATTGTGTTGTACATTTGTTCTTAGCATATATAAAAGTTTTGAACCAAATGTGTTAAAGCTTATGCTTTGCCATGTAAATTTCCCAGAAGTTGTTGAGCTCAAATGTATCCTACATCCAGCTGTAGAAATTTGTCAGAAATTGTTTAAATTTTGTATATAGTTGTACTGTTAATTCTAGCCACTGCGCTGAACAGTATTTGAGTTACCATACAATATGGCTTTACAAGGAAATGTGTGGCTTTTGTTTTGTATTTTTTCAGTATAGAAGTTCCTGTGTCTTATTTAAATAAAGTTATTAGTAAAACTGGAACAGTTCACATATGTTTTTGGAAAGACTTGGGTTTTCAGCACATTACCCAACAGATGTGAATTCGGCTCAGGGTAACGGCAGTTTTCAGCCCTCATTTGAGTTGCTGGCCTGCTTCTGTGGAGCTGAGGGGCATCTAACTGGATCGATTTCTGCAGCCTGGTCTCCTCTTGACATTTAATTTACACACTTTCTATCACAAGGTAAGAACCTAAATGTCTAAAGTTCCAAGTCTTTGTACTATTCCCAGCTGAGAACACATTTAGAGAAAACATTGTTCCCACATCACTTTATGCTTAAGAAGAAGGAAGTTTAAATTTAGTGAAATCACCTGAAAGAAAGGTACATATTTCTTTCAAAGAAAGCTGCCATGACAATATTTAAGTTTTTATTCTTTTCTATTCATTTAGATTCATAAGAAGGAAAAGAGCTTTCCAAAACAAAGGAGAGTTAGTATAATACCCAGTTATCTAAATACAGTCACAGTAGGCCATATGGTGACATGAAAACGAGAACAAACCACAGGGAAAAATAATTCACCAGCGGAATGGTGTTCCTTTCCAAAGCACATCTCATCAAAGACATTGATAAGATTTGACCTTTAAATTGGACTTTAGAGTGATTAGTAGCTGTTTTTGGCTGAGAAAAGTAAAATACAACTTTTAAATGGTGGGATGTTCAGCTATCTACTTGAGAATAGTATGTAATTCAGGCAGGAAATTACCTCATACAATTTAAAAATTCCATTGCAAGTGATCATAAAGTAAAATTCCCAGTCTCATCCCTGCTTAACTTGATCATGTGATAAAACTGAATATAAATGGCCCTCAGAAACAAGGAGGAGGAAATTAGGTCTAAGCTCTAAAGTGCTCTAACTTTACACTAAAAATAATCACTTGGAGTTTATGAATATTGCACTGAGGGGCTGCCCTCATCCCAACCTCCTGTCCCACAGAGTAAGGTTCCATATGGCTGTGAAGTTTCATCACCCCTACACATGTAGTACGTATTCCACCTGCTCTCTGGGCAGTTTCTAGGTAGAAACCCCCACTTGGGTATTCAAAAACCTTATTTTCGCCCCTGTACACTCACTATTTTGGTGAAGGGGTTCTTTGGAGTGGTAGGGGCTTTCTGAAGATGGATCCTTTAATTCACACCTTAACTTCAAAAATCTCAGTGCTACAGCCCAGACCCACAGTTCCATCAACATACCCTCTCAAACCTCTTATCTCAACTTCAGTGATTAAATGGAATAAACGCACTGTCTTAGCCCTGTCGTATCACACCATCTCTCCTTCACACTACTACTCTGCTTTCCAAAGGTAAGAACTCTATGTCCTGGCATTTTCTCTTCCTGAATCTCTTATATTTGCTTTTCTTCCTGTTGTCTCACCACTAAATTTCAAGCTGCAGAGGTGTATGATGGTGGCAGACCAGACAGCCAGGCTGTTTAGATGAATTTCTTCAAAATAAGACTGTGGTACTAAGGAAACAAAATCACAGCATATGCTCGGCTTCCAACAACCTCTATAACAGTAGACCAGGAGTCAGACTACTGCCCATGGGCCAAATCCAGTCCATTGCTTATTTTTGTAAATGAAGTTTTACTGAAACAAAGCCATGCTCACTTATGTATTGCCAATAGCTATTTTGCAGCATCGTGACAGTATTAAGTAGTAGCAGTAGACAGAGTTTGGCCCACAGTGCCGCAAATATTTACTACTGGCTCTTTACAGAAGAAATTAACTGACCTGTGTTGTAGACTAAAGAGCAGACTAGAGACTAGATGTAGTATCATACATGTGGCGGTTTTAAAAATGTGTCTCATGGGTGAGGGAGGAGGTTTGGTGAGCTCTCACCTAACAGGTACAATGTAAGGGTATATGGCACACCTCCTGGGTGAGGGGCACAACTATAACTTGGACTTTACCACAAACCCTATCAATGTAACCTAATCATCTGTACCCTCATATTAATCTAAATTTTTTAAAATCACACTATAAAAGATTGCAAAGGAAAAAAAGGTTCACAAATTTTTCAATACTCCTCCCTTCAAGAAGTAGAGCTTAATTTTCCTCCCTCTAAGTGTGGACTAGACTTGCTACTTCTAAATAGAATATAACAGAAGTGATGATGTGTCAATTCTAAGGGGAGGTTATAGAAAGACTGGCCTCAGTCTTGGATGTGCTTGCCCTCTTGGATCACTTACTACAGGAGAAAGCTACATTTGAAGATGCTGAAAAGTCTATGGCAAGACCCAGTGGTGAGTCCCAGAGACATCTCCAGCCAGGTCTCGAGTTGACTTACCACCTCATGAGACATCTTGAGCCAAAAACACCCAGCTAAAGTGCTCCTGGGTTCCTGACCCTCAGAAACTGTGTGAAATAAATGTTTGTTGTTTTCAGGTGGTAAGTTTGGGGTAATTTGTAACACAGGGTTAGAGAACTAATACATTATCATCGCCCCTTGCTTCCCCCCACACACGTGTACACACTATTTACCCCCAACATCACTTAGAGAATTGCTTTATAATTCTGTCCCATGAATCTGGAAAATGAAGCTTGCTATTTTAGAATAGATACATCTTGAAAGAATCCCTTTTAGGCTAGGTCCAAAAAGCTTTCTTAAAAATTTTATTATTTGAACAGCTCAAATGATTATTAAGTCTGTGCTATGTGTGCCTAAAAGTTAACTTGTCTAACACTAAGCCACCTAAGACAATCCAATGGGGACAAAATTAAGACCCTTGCATAAAAGGATTTCCTTTGGAAAATAATGCAGGAAGGGTGGGTTGAGTGATCAGTTTTTACCAAAAAGAAGAAAGTTAAGAGTTTCTCAAGAAAATGAAAAATATTTCCACCTGAAATGCCTTTGTGCACCCCCCATTTATCAACATGTATCCTTCTAATGAACTGGTTCTAAAATGACCTATCCTACTCTATAGGTATTTCCATATCTCAAGGAGAAGAGTAAAAATAATTGTTTTCAAAGGTTCCAGATCAGTTTAATGATGGGGTTTCTCATTTATAACACTAAGAATTTGAACAATTAGATCATTTTTCCTCTGAAAGATTTTCTGATAGCAAGGAGTGGGTCCCCTTTCATACTGCAAATTCTACCCAAGTCTTGGCATCTGCTTCAAGTATGACTTTGATGACATTCCTTTAGTCAGAATTGGACATGGCTCTGCAGGCAAGGGATGTTATTTCAAACCACTGTCTGGAAGCAAGGTGGATACAGGTGGATGTAGGGCTCCACAAGGACCTGCCAAACGCAGAGAAGGGTTCATGCTGGAAGGGCAAAGCTTTGCTTAGGTTTTCTATTCCACTTTGTAAAGGAAACAGGTTATACTCAAGGGACAGGAG